CCGCCGCTCTGGGGGCCGAGTCTCCCCGCCAGGGTTTCCCTCTCTGACCTCATTTCCGGTCTGGGCCGGAGGGGTGGGGCGGCGACGGAGTGGGAGGAGCTGTCTGACCGGGAGGGCCCGCCCCCGCCCAGCGCTTCCGGCCCGCGGCCTCACCTACTTCCGCCCCAAGTAGGGCGGGGCCGTGGGGAAGCCTGGAGACCCTACTGGGGGCAAGGAGAGGGGGCAGAACTAGGGGTGAGGTGCTTGTCTGGGGAAGGACTGTCGTGCTGGCCTCCTCTTCGTCAGGAGACTGGGCGCTGGAGAGGGCCTAGGCCTCGCTTGACCTACTTTATAAAGGGTGTGTGACGTTGAAGGGGAAATGGATCCTCCTTTTAACCATTCGAGTTGGTACAACCTTTGGCAGGGTAGCTTACCAGTGAGTCACTCAGGGTATTAAAAAATACACATGCCTTGAGCAACAAAACAAGTAAAGTACTACTGGATTAAAACTCAAGAATAAAAGAAATATCTATGAGTTCACACCGATGCAAGGTGTGTATACTGATCGGTGTGTATACTGAATACTGATATGAATAAGTTAATAAATGGAAAGAATAAGTTAACTCTAGTGCGGAAGAATTCCAAATAATTGATGTAGATACTCCACCCTGAAGCGTAGCTCTCAACTCCTTACATGTGGGCTGTGCCTAGTGACTTCCAAAGAGCACAGGAAGGAGGGAAATGAGTAACTTGGTAGTAGAGAAATCAGAGAAACACTTCCTCGCCAGGTGATCAAGGTTAACATCAGTCGTGATAAATCATGTTGACAGTCCGTGGACCAGATATGACGAGAGTGGTATTTTATCTCCTTCCAAACCCATAACCTCAGTCTGATCAAAGGAAATCAGACAAACCCCAATTGAGGAACATTCTGCAGAATGCCTGACCAGGATTCCTCAAAATTGCCAAGGTCATCGAGGACAAGGACAGTCTGAGAAACTGTCACAGCCAAGAGGAGCCTAGGGCAACGTGACAACTTGATGTAATGTGGTCCCCTCAGTGGGATAGAACAGCAGAAAGGACATTAGGTAAAAAGTAAAGAAATCTGGATAAAGTGCGGGCTTTAGTTAATAACAATGTCTCAATATTGGTTCATTAATTGTGACAAATGTGCTATACTAATTTACACAGCTAGCGATATTAATAATAGGGGAAACTGGGTATGAGGTATATAGGAACAGTGTAATTTTCTGTAAACCTAAAACAATTCTAAAATTAAAGTTTATTTTTTAAAATGCACATGCCTGTTGGCCCAGAAATTCAGTCTCTAGGAATTTTATTCTAAGGAAAAATTGGAAATGGGCACAAAATACAGGTTAAACACAGGTAAATTCATCTTTGCAGCATTGTGGAAGGAGAGGTGAGAAGATTAGGAGAAAAGCCAGAAACCCTAGAACAGTGGTTAGTTATCTAAACTATGGTACATCTATGGGATGGGATACCTTTGAGCTTTTGAAAATTGTTGTGGGAGAATATTTAATGACATGAAAAGTTGTCAAATTATGATTGTGTACATTTCTTTTTTATTGTGTACATTTCTATATGAATGTTTTACTTTAATAAAACAATTACTCTAAACATGTAGAGTATGACTCTAATCATATGTAAAGGAAATTAAATCTGTATTTGCATAGGAATATGACCAGAATGATACACTACAAACCATCCAAAATAGTTCCATTATACCATGGAACTGACTATATCTATGTCCTGTTGTTTGGGTGGATGTTGAGAATTGTTTATAGGGTAAACTTATTATGAAAAGAATTAACAGAGGAGACATAGATGACTGAGCTTTCGAGCCAGAGTGACTAAAAGAGTGGCATTTGCACAGTTAGAGGAGAAAAGAAGAGATCTGGATAAAGGGAATCTGGATAAAGTACAGTTTTGTGGGAAGATGATTGATTCTACTTGGGACATGCTGAATCTGTGACTCCCCCAGGACAGAAAGATGGAAATATTCCAAAGGTGTCCACAGCCATCAGCCCTCTTTTCTGTGTTAGTGAAGTTCTCCCCGACAAATCATATCAGCCCCCAAGGTGTCAGTTGCCTCTAGCGGCACTGAAAGCACCCACTTTTCTTGATATCCAGCTTTTATTTTCATCTCTCTGCTAGATATCACCACCTGTTTACTCTGCCAGCACCTCCAAGTTAAGATGGCAAAACAAAGTTTAATTTCTTCCATACTCCCTGTGAAATCTGCCCCTTCTCCATTGTTCTCTGTTTGGGAAATGTCACCACCATTATGAAGTCACCCAGGTGAGAAGCTTCATGGCCATTTTTAGTTCCTGCTTCTTCCGTATACCTTTTTTATCTAATGAAATGCCAATCCTCATGGATTCTGCTTCTACAGTATTCTTGCACCCACCCTCCCTCTTTTGCTTGCTCTTTGCCATTGGCCTTGTCCAGTTAGGCAACCACGCTTCCGGATGGTGTAGCTAAGCCAAGACTGTTAAAGCTGCAATTTGTTGGGGGGCATGGGGAAATATAATAAAAGGGTAGCTCACACTGACTTTGTGAAGGGTCTAGAAAGGGAAATTAGAATTTATGGAGCACCAATAT